AGTGATAAGCAATCATTTGGATAGTAAAAAAAATACGAATAATAAACTGATAAATATGAAAAATATGGATGATAAAGAAACTTACCAGCCTTTTTGTTGAAAAACTGTACATTAAGGTTATTGGCGCTTGCCCATACACCTTGATGGTCTGTCGTATCTTCGTTTGTAAGATGAGTGTATTTTGTTCGTGATGCTTTTCCAAAGTTTTTGACCTAAAATGGAATAAGAGAAATTCCATAAATTTAAGAGAACATCCTGAGAAACTAAAGACTTACTTGCATGACCTTCGGTAGTACTGTCTTATCAAACACATCGTCTGCGGTAGCTTCAGCAAAGTTCCTTTTATACACCTCATCCTCTTGATCCAAGAAGTAAGCACCACGATGGTAGTACTTTTGTAAGAACTTGTATTTGCCTTTGATAGCCTAAAAGGTATAGTAGTACAACGCCACGAAACATCTCGAATTTGGGAGAATTATTATGCAGTCATTTTACCTGGTTGGTGATAACTCTAGGATTTGCACGCAGAAACTTGACCCGCTCTTCCTCAGTCATATTGTGGATACGTTCATACTCAGCTTTTTCCTTTGCTGCTTGTTCACGTTCCTCTCTGAAAAATCCGCAATGATATTGGAAAGAATAGGATGAAAGCGCAACTGATTCGTAGCTCAATATTGAATTAAGTCTTCTGAACTAAAATAGGACAAGTACGTTATACTATTTCCACAGAAAAATTTCGGAATTTGATAAGAAATAAAGGCTCACCTATTTCTCTTTAATCTTTTCATTTCCCTCAACTTCCACATTTCATAAGCGACATTTTCGCTTTCATCATCGGTTTGTACTGAATTAAGTTCAATATTCTCTTCCTTCTTCCGTTTTTCCATTTCATCCTCTTCACGAAGGACTTGTTGCACGAGCTGTAAACTTGTGTTATTTAAAACAACTAAATTGGTGGTACAATTTCGGGACAATAACCCTAATGCTGTCTTTCTTCCTCTCTTCCTTTTTTCTCTCCTCTTCTCGTTTAAGCTGTTCCTGTTGCTGTTTTTCTTTCTCCAATTCTAGCAAGGTTATACGGTCCTTTTTTCGAACAAACACCTAAAAATTCTGAAAATTGACTCAAGGTTTGGACACTTCAGTGAAAAGTTAAAATTAGTATGCCATTGTTTCTAAGATGTCACTAACCGGTTTTAATCGTGGTAAAGTGTCATCCTCTTCTTCTTCACTGGACTCTTCCTCGCTTTCCTCTTCATCTTCCTCCTCTACCTCCTCTTCTTCTTGCTTGATCTCTTCCTAAAAAAGAAAAGTTTTAAATTAGCGCTTCAACCAAAATGATATTACCTTGAGTTTCATTTCCTCAAGCTCTCTCTGCTTGGCTCGCTCTCGAAGTATTTTTCGACGACGTTCGAATTCTTCTTCGTCACTGCCAGCATCGTCTTCTTCCTAGAACGCATAGGACTCACATCAAACGTTAAAAAAAGCAAAACAAAAAATTCTGGAAAATCACCTCTTGCTGCTGTTGTTGTTCCAAATTGAGTCTTCTCAAACGAGCCCTCTGTCGGCGCTGCTCCACTGCTTCTGCGTCTTCTTCTTCGTCTTCCTTTTTCAGGATCTGTATTCATTTCTCATTTGAAATAAAGAAAGGATAGCATTTTATGGCACGTCAATGGGAATATTTTATCCATGATTAGAGCAATTGAGAATTACTTCAGGCTCTTCGACAGGGCGACTGCTTCCTTCATCACGATGACGATCTCGATGCCTCTGCTCATGATCATCTTCCTTCTCTCGCCTGTGTCTATCCTTGGGCCGCTCCTCTTTGTCAAATCTAAGCAAATGGGCTGCCCAAACAATATTAAAAAACGATTGAGATCTAAACGTTATCTGTGCAAGAAAAAGGGTATTTTTAATCTTAAAAAACCTCACAAACTAGATTCAAAAAGTGAAATGTACCTGCTCTCACGTCTCTTTTTATCATCTCGCCCTTCTTCGTCAGATTCTGAACCTCCTTCTTTTGCATAATTGGGCCTAAAATTCGAACAAAATCATTGTAAAAAAAATTCGGCCCAAGAATATACACGGTTTTAAAGGTAGCTAGAAAACCAATAAAACTGTGGGACTGCCTCACATTTTACCAGCGATATATCGTTGTACTTTTACTTTTTGCATAACCACTTGTCCTTTCTCATTTTTGACCGGCACAGCTCCCAAAGTGGGGAGACGTTGTGGGCCATAACTACGTTGATCACCTTCACGTTGTTCAAAGCGTGGTATATATTCCCCCATCCTAAAAAAAGGTACTTGATTTGTTGAAGCGAATTTTTGAGACAGTCATGGTAAGGTGCAAAAGTTTTGTCGCAAAGTTCTTAGGGACAGTCACAATTGAGTAGCAAAGAGACTTGAATGGAGACTGAAAACATATATGTATGCATCTTAAAGAAGATAAAGTATGTGAAGCAGAGAAAAAAAA